AATCAATGCTTGTGAGTGCCCATGAGGGAGTTAGATTATTTAGTATTAAAAACTTTAACCAAACAGTCAGTTAAAACAAACAAATGAACAAGATCAAATACACAACACCATTAACACCCACTAATCAGTAAGTATTATAATGTGTTTATATATAAATACAGATTTCTGATACAACAGTAATAATGCATGAATTGAGAAAAAAGCAGTTTTTGATTATGGATCATGTGCAGCAACAACACAAGGGTGACTCTTCAACCACTTTAAATGACACCATCACCATGCAGCACGACACCTGACTAACACTCCACCTGAACACACAAGGGGGGCTTGACCTACAGAATTCACCTTACAGGCTCAATGTGATAAATCAAACACATAGTATTCAAAGCTTGTTAATGGTAAAGGCAAGATAAGCTTCTGACTATATGAAAGTAAAATACACAAAATACTCACTAACAGAAATTCAGCTGTCAAACAATGCTTGAACAATGATTCATTTCTGGTGAAGTTTGGTTCACCGTCTCAATACTTTAACCATGGTGTCACCCAAATGTGCCCCATCTACCAACAACCACGGCACTTGCAAAGACAGACAGCACCCCAAAAACGAACTACAGACTAACAATAAACACAAGGACAAGTAGTGAGGGTCTTACCTCTCAGAACTACTCCTGAGGGTGGGATGAAGAGAATCAGAAACAAAAAGATATGTACAAATTTAAGAATGAAAATGGGTGTGATCTTGTTCTCGATACTGTATTAGTCAGACCACTTCTGTAGACTGCTACAATAAGTTCTAACAGTATTCCATGAGGTATTAATAAGACTATCAAGTGTGTCCTCCATAGCTGGTGTTATATTTCTCAGTTTCGGAGTGATAGCCGGTGGCTGTGTTGTCATACTAACCTGCTGGTTCTTCTGTTGTAGGGGCTCCTGGGGGCCGTGGAGCTGAATCTAAACCTGCGTCTGGTAGGAGATGAGTGGTCTTTGAAGTACATGCTGCGCTTCCTGGGCTCTCTGGGTTCTATGAGAAACAATAAGAAACCTCATCAAACTCAATTTAATAAAAGGCTGTCATACATATTTTTTCTCCTGTGCCAAATCTGCTTTAATAAATCCAATGAGTCACCCAGTTTCTGTGTGGGTGTATTTTATAGGGTAGCAAATAGGTACATGCTGAGAACTTCAAAAAAGTCACTGAAACCAATTTGAATGCCAGAATACTGGTAGAAACTATAAACACTAACTAAAAAAAAGGTGGAAATGACCTAAATTTGCATTTATTTATTTGAAGCAAGCATATGCAGCCATTTAAACAATATAAGCAGTACCATCCTGTGGGGCCTGGTAGCGAACCACAGTTTTTCGCTGCCTGAAGTCATAACGCCTCTGATTTTCTTCTTCCTCATCCTCGCCATCTTCATCGTCATCTTCTTCATCTTCTTCCTCCTCATCATCCTCTTCTCTATCTTCCTCCTCCTCTTCATCGTGATCGGCCTCATCCCCTCCTGTTAATAAGATCAAATCTGGTGAGGTTTCTGCAACAGGGAAAAAACAACTGTGCTCTTTAGGGCAGAATTATTATTTCTTAAAAAACAAAGGTTGAACAATTCTGCTTCTGATGACATTGTATAGAGTTAGTCTATGAAACACACTTGTGTATGCAGGTGTCTTTAGTATGCCTTGCAATAAGTTGAGGCTTTCAGGTGTATTAAACTCAGAATAAATTTTCTCCAAAATTGGATGGAACCAGACCAGCATGCTTCACCTACCTTAAGTGGTTATTAAACCTAATCCTTCTCACCTTGGTTCTCCTCCTCAGTATCTTTACTGTCCACATTCGTCCTCAGAGAGCTTCTCATTCTTCCCCGGGTGTACATGCCGAGCTGCTCAGAGGAAACAGGTCAAATGCTGCTTAATTCATTATTTTGAAGCTTGTAACACATTATCCAATGGCAAGATTACACTATGATTACACTGTGAAATAATTTAAGTTTCCTTTGTGGATTATTACCTCTTCTTTAGTGTCTCTATCTCTCAGTCTGCGTCTCATCTTCTGCATGTCGTCCATCTTCTGGAGAACAGCTTCAGCAGTGCTGAGGGACAATCAGAGGAAGAAATGATCAGATTTTTATCAAAGTTCATCTGTATTCTAATTACTCATTAGTTTAAAATGCATACCCAGAGCCCACTGTTTATGTCAATTTACTTGTTAAGATACTACTTCAAGTGATAGATCAGCTTTATTTTGAACTGAAGCAGTGAGGAAGGAGCCAAAAGATTTTGGACTCAATGTTGAACTCACTTGGTGATGAGGCGGTCGTAGAGCACTGACTGGTTGCGGGAATTCAGTTTGTATCTGGTGATTCGGGAACTACGTCGCACTGATCGATCCTCCTCTTCCTCCTCCTCTTCCTCCACTTCTCGGTTCTGTAGATTAAAGCGGCTCCTCTTGGGAGTGGACGACCCCTCTACTTCATCTGGAACATCTGGGGCACCAACGGAAACAGTTTTTGTTAGCTTTCTGATATAGACTCTACTCAAAACTGAATACTGCTCATTAAGCTTTGTGTACTGGAACATTTAAAAGCTTCTGTGTTCTTTGTAGAGAAATGATACAGTAGCAAACTGTACCTGCTTGCTGTTTACCACTGGATGCTTTTCCCTCTCTTTGTAGTCTGGACGATTTCCTGAAGAGAGGAAAATGAGTTCTTTGTGTCACTTACTATTGTATCATTACTTATTATTTGAGTGTAAAAAATATGCATATATTTCCACACATTAACAAAAAAATTTGAAATATCCCCAATGTAGGATGTACCGTACATCAGATTTGTGAGGATAAACATTTATTAGGAGAATTTGTTGCTGAAACAAAGAGTTTTTACAACAATGCCACAGTATAAAATATAGGTCACGTGCAGTAAATGTATGACAATTAATAATATTGAATGTATTAAGTCCTACAACTCGATCATAGTCAGTTAAAAAGTACCACTAATATTAAAATGAATGGGCTTGTATTACCTGGTGCAGCATCCTCCAGCCTTGTCTTCATTCACAGGGGAGCTGGTCTTTGGTTCCATGTCAGAATAAGAGACCTCTCTTTGTCTTCGGGTCCTCAGAGAGTGATTGAGACCACTTCCCTCGTCCTGCTTCACGTCAGCGTGTCCCTGGTCACATTAGTATTTTACAGTTTACACATATAGAAGGAATGAGTATTTCCTCTATTGAATTAGAAATTCTAATTAATCATGGACTTGAATGAAAAATATTTATTGATTAACTTTAAACATTAAGATAATTAAAAAACAGTTACCGCTATCACTCTCTTTTTAGAATATTGCAGATTATTCAATTAAAATAAACTGACTGCTACTGACCACCATCTCTGCCAGCTCTTCGTTGAAATTATTGTTGTGTGTCTCAGAGGGTGTATTGTCTTTATGGAGTAAAAATATGGGTCTAAAAGTAAGCACTGGTTTTACTCTCATAATATATTAGCTAGTTTGTGATCATTATAACTCAACATCAATGTGAGCTCAGCATGGATGTATAGACTAGATAAAGGACATGTTTTAAACTGAGGTCAAGGATAATCCTACAGAAAGCTGCCCCGCAGTCTGTTTTACAAATTAGTGCTTTCTGTGGAAAAACTGGGTTAAAATCTATTAGCCACATTTAGTAATTTAATTTCTATTATGAGGTAACAGACAAGTCTGAGATAAAGTTTAATGAATGAATGAATGAATGAATGAATGAATGAATGAATGAACAGTTCCCCCATCCCTTCTTCCAATCAATCCTCTACAACAGCACATGCCAAAACACACCCCCTTATCAGACAGTTAACTTAGGGACTAACTATCGGTTACTTGGCAACCTGGTCTAGTAACATATTCGTATTGTTATAGATAACAGTTAACAACACATTAAAATTAAAAAACAACTTAATAACTATTTTATTTTGACTGTAAAGCTTATAAATGGTCGTTACACATGAATCAACCTATGTCCAATAGACATACGAGTCTCCGTAAGATGTAAGCAGAGACTGAGTGCTCATTCGGATAATGTGACTGTAAAGTGACGAGAGGACAAGGTAGCAAGCTAGTTAGCTTAGCATGCTAGCAAAACTAGCAGAGCAAAGTTGCGCTCATAGATAATTTATACACCTAACAAATAGTGATCTCGTTTTCTGAGCAGCTGACAAAGTGTAAATGCTCACATTCGGCGTGTTATTTTCGGGACTGCTGAAGCTGTCATCCATGGCCCGGGAGGACCGGGTCAGCCGGGCGGACTTTCTCTGCGACGCGGGAAGCAGCGACAGAAACTCGGAGCTTGTATCCAACTCCATAGACCTCCTCTTCGGAGTTGTTGCAACCGGCTCAGCTCCGACACCGCCACTGCTGCGTAGTATCACCATCTTGACTCTTAAAACGACCTTATTGTAGTAGCGCGAATGATGGCTAACCAACCGATGTTCAGCCTTACAACGTCCGACGTTTACGGTACCGCCAACATAGCACAGATAACGGAGAATATCCGCCAGCCGACACACACAGGCTGCTCACTAAACCCTTGATTTCTGGCGCCATAAACGTCATCAGAGGTTATGAGGTAGTGGCTAATGAGCTGCCGCCAAGAGAAATAGATCTCTTGGTAAGATTATTACAGAAGCCAAACTGTAAAAGTAACTTTATGTCCACCACGCCGATGACGCAGCGCATTTTAATGGGCACAGATGTTGGCATTGCTATATCATCCACCGTTCTTGTTTTAACATAACAAGCGGAGGGATATATATACAATCTGAAAAGGTGTTCCGGTAGATGTTAGAGCGCGCTCTGCTCTGCTCCAAACTGCGAACAAGCGCGCGCTCATTATGTACACAAAACATGTACAGGCAGCATACGCATGCTTCACACATTAAACAATAAAACTGCTTCACACTGCCATTTCCAAACAGTCGCACAGTAATTTAAAACACGGAGTCAACATCAACTCATCATCTTTTATTTGAAGAAGTGACAGATACCAGAAGAGAAAATACAAACTCTAGAATTGATTCTAGCCTGGAAAACAAAAGAGTACATTGTGTAAAACTGCTGTACAGGCAACTAGATCTTGACTGTAAAACCTCAAAACGTCCCACTGAATCCTCCCTTCCTGCTCCCTTTTGCTGATCCTCCTTCCTAGTGTGTGTGAGGGATACTAATTAAGTGCAGTTGAGGGAAAATGTCCATGTTCAGGATGAATAAAATCACCCCCAGAAACCAAAGCTCTTTCTGCTCTTTACTAACTGTTTTATTTTACCAGTTTTATTTTTATGACAATGGTTACAAGCAATCAAATTTTGAATAACTGCCTAAAACAACCTTGCTTTATTTATAACCTGACAGCATTGCCTTTGCAACAGCAATGACAAATACAGAAAATGAAGGATTCAATGGAAGATTTGAGATTTTACTCATCAGAGCCTACATTCCTTGTCATACGCACAGTAGGCAACTGTCACAATTCACAGCACCAGGGAATGTGTTTAACAACAAAGCCAATTATGTGGATGTGAGTTTGTCACCTCACTTTTAAGTAAATAGGTCCGGGCATAATCCCAAACCGGGTGTCTGATTCTGCAAGCTCGTGTTAATAATCTTGAATGTAATGAAGTTACGGCGGGCATCCTTTCATGTTCTCAGGGCAGAAACAGTTTGGCCATAATGCAATGTGGCTAAACTCTGTCTGAATAACTGTGGTTTACAAAACGTGTCATGAGACTGTTGGCTACTGTGCTGTTATGTCTTTGTCAGGAAATGTGGCCTGAAAGCCCCATCATCATTATGGAGGGCGTGTTCACGCAATGGCTGCCAGGTAGTCTTTCACCTCCGCTGGGGTGAGTCTTTTGAAGCCGGCCTCGTTGCAGATCCCCACCTCAATGTTTTCCTCTGTCATCTGACCCTCAAAGCTCTCCTGAAACACAAAAGATAGGGGAGTGTCAGTGACTGAGGAAAAAAAAGAGAACCGTAGGTAAAATAGTTTCCATACCGTGGTTATTTATTAACAAAGAACATACCTTCAATGTCAAGATGGCTGTGTGGATGGCATCTTCCAATTCCAGATCGTTGTTATACCTGGAGAACAAAACAAAGTGGTCATCTAGCAATCTGTGTAATGTGCATCAGGTAGAAAAACTGTACAGGGTGAACCGTAGGTTATAATTTGAACTTCTTAGACAATGTTCAAGGACCCAAACTGGGTCAGGGGCTTATTGTTGAACACTGGCCTTTTTAATACAAGACTCCATTTAGGTCACTTGCTAGAAGAGGAATCATTGGAATCAGGCTCTACACCCTGAGCCTCATATAAAACTTAATAACCTTTCCATAATTGTAGTGAACCAAATACCATCCTGGCTCATCTTCCATGTCTGCCAACTACAAATTTACTTGGGTAGAAAAGATTAACCACACTGAGCCTTATTTATAGATCAAATTAGGGCTTCAATTCTAACTGCACTGACATTGAAAGTGTCTTAAAGTGTAGAAATACTTGGTAATGGTTTTCTTAGTTGTTTTTCGTATTTATCAGAACTAACGTTAAATGATATTGTTCCTTGAATACATTCAGACTTTACTCAAAATGACAGCAGTATGCTAAAAAAAAGAAAAAACTAGAGCCTAACTGATACATTGGTTGGCTGATATTGGCCTCTTGCAGACATATCTGTATTGCAAAGTTTATCTAGCAGAGTGCATTGTGATTTACAATACTATGGTAGGCAGCACAGAGTAACAATGCAGCCTGTACGCCTGAGGTGAGATACAGGAGATGTTGAGTTTAAAGTCTGTCTGTGACATATTCTACAGATATAGCCAACACAACTGTAGTGAAATGTGTGTGTCGCTGGTATAATGTCAATATGACTGAATAGACATTTCACTGCCTATTTTAGCTGGGAATAAGCAGCTGAGATGCGTGTGGCATGCACAGCAGTGAGGCTGCTCCCATCGGTTAGCACGGGCACAGAAATAAAAAAGCAAGACGTTCCACCACCGACTGCAGACACAGGCAGTGTGGACAGAGCCTAAGTAAGAAAAAGCAACTCAGCAGTGTCTATTAGAATTGGTTGACAATGTATATGCACAATTATTGAACAAGTTAAAGAATATCTAACTGAAATATAAATTTAATAAGGTTATTTGTTTAACAAAAGCACCTTCTGAGAGTCATCAATGCAAAATAACTGCCACCATAATAGTAATTAGTGAATTTTTCCCCTAAAACTGGTATCTGCCTTATATTGATATCCCATATTGGTCCAGTTCTATAAAAGACATTAATGAATTTGAACGTATCATAAAAAAAAAATTATAAAAAGATACCACAACAAATACTCTACATATTTACATCTGTGTTTTGATCATTTGGATAGCCATAATAAACTCTCCCTTGCTGAGGGAGATCTTACCTTTTTTCAAGGAATGTTTTTCCATTAACGTAGTTCTTTCCCATAGCTGTGGCTTTCCATGCGAAATATGCACCCTGCCAGTCAGAAACAGAATAATAAAGATCCAGCAAGAAGTTCAACAAAAATCACTGCAGGCTGAGAGTGACTGGAGTAAGTGTTGAGCACATTCAAGACAGACAGGATGTGCAATTAAATCTAAATTTTAAAGTTAGTAATACGACATACAGAGGGGTCTGACTGGAACAGGTAGGGGTGGTCTTCATCCCATCCAGCTATCAGCAATGAAACGCCGAATGGACGCACTCCACTGGAGGAGGAAAAAGAAAAGACAGATTCAATCCAAAAATTGCATCTAAAATATAAGGATGATGTGTCTATAAGCAGTGTGTGTATCTTTGTGTATACCCACCCAGACTGTGTGTACTCCTGCATTACGGAGGCCACTCTCTGGACAAGCTGGCCTGTGGGGATTGGCTCCTGGTAAACCAGGAAGTACTGTTGTGCCAACTTCCGGGCTCGTCGCACTAATACCCTGCAGAAACAACACAACTTATTAATTATCCACAAATTACACATCACAAATGTCCCTTTTCAGAAGGTAATTCTAAAATCCCAGATGTCAGAGCACCAGACATCAGAAATAATATATAACTTTACATGCTTTTCAAATTTGTTAAATGGTTAAAAACATGCAAAGAGAAACCTCCAATATATCCATTTGAAATAGACTGAACAGGGCTGGTAATGAACAATCTAGCTGTTGGCCATCACTCAGAAATATTCCTTACTTGTCTAAAGCAAGGAAAGAAATGTAAGCTGTTGGCATTCTGGTTTTATTCCAAACAGAGAGAATCCCCACCTGTAGTCAGGTCCCATGCCGCTGTAGACCATGCCTATGTGTTTAGTGATAGGCTCCACTTTATGGACACTCTGCTCATCGTACAGAATGGACTTTTGTTTCTTCTCTGTTGCCAGGACAACTCCATTGGAAGCTGTAAAATCGAAGAATATGAAAATTAGTGTCTTCACAAATCCTAACCGATCATTTTTTTATAAACGAGCTTCAAGCTTTATGCAGAGCCTTTGTAAATGCTGGTGACTGCTTAGGTTGCTGCACTAGTGTCTGTTAGGTTGACTATGTACTGGAAACAGAAAGGCGAGGTATTACTTTTACATGCTTGATCAGATTTCCCACACCATTTTTTGTTTTTTAAAGTTTGAACGCCCCTAATTGTACCGCACTGCCACATTTAGTCTGAAGTCACACTGCACTCTGCAGTTTTCCACATTAAAGCCAGGAGAAATTCAAACTGTTTAACCAAATGCATGTATTTCTGTGGTAATTTACCCTTTACCAATGAGTGCAATTTAAGATGATACACCTTTCTAAACAGAACCGTATTGTGACCCTCGAAGGGATGGGACAATATGATATTATGTTGTATGATAACAAAAAACACTATTGTGGTGAATTTCAAATTTCATGATTCTTACATAGCTTGCTGACATAGGGTCCTATATTGATTTCCTGATTTATTTTGAACAAGGGGACAAGGGAGGGCCCGAATCTTTGCAGTCATTACAAAATCCTAAGCCTCAGCTTGCCTGTTGTATCCCCCACACAAAAGTTAAACCAGATGTGTTAAAATAGTATATATTCCAAAATAAACAACAGGGAGATGACGCGATGTAAATCAATAAATACATAAATAAATAAATAGTATGAAGTATATTTTCATGATTATGGTCCCATGCCTAGTCACCTAATAACAAAAAGACACTTAAAATTATTTTAGTTTATTATCAAAACTAAAATCCACTTCTTTTAAACAACAATACAATACCATGATCTTCAAAGAGGCCCACTTTTGCTGCAGACCCCACAGTTTAAAATGCTCCACACATTCAGGACTCCATACCTTTGATGCCCACTGAGGGTGCTCCGGCTGCTACAGCTGCCAGGGCATATTCAATCTGGACCAGTTTCCCCGAAGGGCTGCAGGAAGAAACAAATGATGCTGCATTATCAATCTGTGAGGCGGAGGAACATAAACTAACTGATAAACCACACGCAGACACAACAACTAGCTGCTGTGGTTTAAAAAAAACAAATGGATCTTATAACTATTAACAAAAGACGAAACTGAAAGCAAAAGCTAAAACAACTGACTCATCTGAGCTAACTTAGCTAAGCTAGTCTCGAGAAGATGAGCATGTAAAACTGGCCTGTTTCGACCTAAACAGAAAGAGGAGGAGAACTAAAACAATGTGGCGAGTTCTCATTATCGATATCTGAGGCAAAGTCTCACTTGAATGGTTTAATTTAAGAACACGTTACAGCCGACATGCTAACAGAGTTAGCCGATTCATTACCCGGCAATGACAGTGCAGCAACTACAACGGACCCCCAAACACACTGTTACCATCGACATGGACAACCGTGCAACAACTCTATCAAACTCCTATTCAATAACAACCTCAACAGGCTGCAAGTTTACATGCCATAATCTAATTTAGTGACACATTTAACAACGTTTACCTAAATGTGGTGAGGGAGAAACTGTAGCCTCGTTCCGCCATCTTCTTCTTCTTCTTCTTCTGCTCTGTGTTGACTGTAGATTTGTAAATCCACTAATGGGAGTATACTGCCACCTCTGGACGGCACCAGGCCCTACACAACTAACAATGTGAGATAAACAATAGAGTAACACTGGGAATAAAGCAGAAAAACATCTCCCTGCAGGGTTGTTGTTTTGTTTGTTTTTAGTTTTTTCCGTTTTCTGAAGTTAGAGTTCATTATTTATAAAGAGTTAAAGACCTGAAACACTGAGGAAGCACATCTTAAAAAAGGGCTATAACATTATACTTTATATTAACTAATGATTCGTCATTCTGAATGATCAATTACGGTATACTGATAGCTTTTTACGTCACCTATCAACTCTATCAGTTTGAAATGAAAGGATACAACACATACTTTTACTTCATGAAAACACATTTAACTTTAAATTAATATGTGTCAAAGTATAATAATATATTAAAAAAAAAAAAAAACATTTGTAAAACATATGAACTAAAACTAATAAGAGACAATAACTGGAGGCAAAAACTGCATTCAGGCTTTCAGGACAAAGTATGAGAGTTGACCGCTAGATGGTAGAAAGACCCCTTAAACACATTGTGTCTACCCAAAATTAAACAGAAGAAGCCCAGTTTTGTTGTCCCTGTTTGATGACGCACTGAAGCTCAGTGACCGTGACCCGTTTGACGTGTTGGGAAGAGAGGAATCGTGCTGACAACCAAAAATGATGAATTTGGGCGCTTTAGTGCACAGCCTCCGATGCTCTTTACTACACATTGAGAGCAGACTCCTGCAGGCGGCGGGACTGGACGCACACCTGGGTGAGTGACAGCTTAGGAAGCTAACTTAGCTAATGTTACTGCTAATCATGATACCTAGCTCTGTGCCTGACACACACACACACACACACACACACACACACACACACACACACACGGTGTCTCTCTCTTTCATCCAAAGTTTAGACCACCAATCACCATTGACTACCACCCGTCTTTGACTCTCATCTCCTCTCAGCTATCTCTGTACATGTGACTTGGGTTGCAGTGATAAGGAGCTAACAGTGTTTGTCCTGTGTGCAGCTCCAGCGCTGGCAGTGAGCGGCCCCAGCCTCCTGCCTCAGCTCGACAGGGAGGATGAGCTGGAGGAGCAGCAGAGCCCGGAGCAGCCCCCTGGCCTCCTAGACAGCATCTTGTGGATGGCTGCTCCCAAGAAGAGACGCACTATAGAGATCAACCGCACCAGGAGGAGAGCTGACAACAAACTCCTTAAAGTCAAGGTATGCTGATTAGGGCCACCCCTGGGTCCTCTTAAAGGGCCATTTCACCCCAAAGCCCAACTATAACAAATGTATGTCTTACCCAGAGTGCTATCTGTCTGTACTCATTCACTGGTAGTGATTAGCAGAGCTTTGGAGATATCAGCTCAGACTCACCCCGGTACATTTAAGCTCTATGGCATTTGGTTTGTGGCATGAAAATCTTTAAGAATTACTCTTACTACACTCTACAGAAATAGATTCATGGCTGCATCAACAGTTAACCAACACCAACAAATGAATACATTTGCTTTTCCTGAGACACCACAACTAATGAAACGTTATAACATGCATGAATATCCCAGGATCTCTGTGGAGCTTCCTCACAGTCTACAAAGAAAATAAGTGCAATCTAATGTTCAGGATCCTTTGGCGTGTAATGTGGCTGAGGCACACTCTTATGTTATTCACTTCATATTCACTACAATACAGTGTTTCCTCTAGGATTTGTTTAGCAGTGGGGGCAGGCCTGTCCGAAACAACCCCCCCGTCCCATCCCGTCCCGTCACGCCAGCAAGCGTTTTACGTATGAAACAGAAGTGACACTTCGCTGCGACACAAACAAATATATTTAGCATTTTAATGTTTCCAGATGTTTGATATCAGGACGTTGAGTTGAACGTTGTCCAATTAAAACGGACCCACCGCGGTGACGTTCTTGGTGGAGCTGTTAGTTTAATAGTCGACTTGGAAGAAAGCGAACGTTTTGACAATAAACTACATCAACACAACAGTATGTGGAGTTAACCTGGACAGCCCCAATAACCTCTGAATAGTTCTACTTGTTGTTAAAAGCCAATGGGGGTGCATTATGTCGGCAGGATCATTTAAAAGGCAACCGTGACTACATTGTGCGTCTGCCCCATTTCTGATACCGTGGCGGCAGAAATTTAACAGCGGCGGGCCGCCACTCCAAAATCAACATAGAGGAATATTCCTCAGTAATAATTATGTTCAAACTCAGATTTACTCAGTACTTGATACTCAGATCAGTTCAGACAAATTGTATCAGTGCACCTCTGATCAATCAATCACAATAACCCACACACTTTGTGGTGAACAGTTTCATTGAGAACTACTTTGTACTGAAGTTGGTCATAGAATTGCTCTTTCTTTCTTTCTTTCTTTCTTTCTTTCTTTATTCTTGGATCCCCATAAGGTGCCACTTATAGCAGCTACTTTTCCTGGGTTCCACACACAACAAAACATATGTACATGATAAGATATCTCAGCAGACAAGGAAATAACTGTTAATAACAAGGGTATCTTTTTCAGTGTACATGCCTCGTCATTTTAAAAGCAATATCTGACTGTGTATATAACATCAGGACATCTTGTACCAGAACCAAGATGAATAAATGTTAACATCTCCAGCAGAGATGGGCCGATACTACTGGTTGATACTACTGTTGACTGGTTGGTTAGCATATATCAGCATGAGTGTATATATTGGCCAATGAGAAAATGCCAAAAAATATATAAGAAGTGATTCAGTAACATTACATTGTTTGACCCACAGTCTCTGTCTCTCTGTTCTCTGTCTCCCTCTCTCAGACCAACATTGAGCCGTGTCTAGAGTGTGGCCACTTGAAGCAGAAACACATCATGTGTGGCTTCTGTTATGCTAAGGTGTCCAAGGAGACTGCTCTGATTCGTCAACGAATCAATGCGATGGAAGGTGGCCCGCTGAGGGCCCCGGCAATGGAGACTGTGGTCCTGTATGAAGGCGAGACACCAAGCCAGCAGGACAAAGACAAGAGGATCGTGGAGAGGCCCAGGAAGAGGCCTGCCTGGTTCAGCTAATGATGCAGAGATATTGAGGCTGTGTGTGTTACATACCTTCAGTCTGACTCAGGTCTGGTCAGATACACACTGATGCTTTATGTGATATAGTAAACAGCTTATTTTGTCCAGTCTGTCAGTAAATGAAAGAGGTTGATGTATCAGTCTCCACAAATTCCATAAAGGGGTCGTTTGATCAGCACTGATACAGGAGCCTTGATAAATACTGGCACATCAGACGTTTTCACTTGTACTACAGTGGTTCTCAACCATTTTGTTGTCAAGGGCCCCCAGATTGATACACACAGCTGTATTTGATAAGATGTAGTCTGAGGGGTCCCAATCTGATAAGATTTAGTTATTCCATAACTGTTTATACTGTAGATTTTTCAATTGAAAAATGTGAAAGTTATGAACAGAATAATTATTCTTATACATTCTTTCACTGAGCTAACTTTTAGTCAGTGAAATAATATTGACATTAAAATATTCCTATTTTTTCTCGAGGACCCCAGGTTGAGAACCACTGCTGTACTGTATCATTAATGTGGGTAGAGAAAGTGTAAAGATATAGGCCTTTGGAGTTTTAGTACAAGACATCATGGTTGATTGTTTTTGTCATTGTTTCAACAAATTTTCAGACTCAAACCAAGTTTGTCAGATTGTCATCTGAGAGAAATTTACTGTACAATATTTGAATGTTTGGCAATAAATTTGAAAAAAACCCTTTTGTTCACCCTTGATTGCATTAGTTACATTTTTCTTTAGTTTTTTTGGTTAATGACTGCTTCTACTTCATAATCCGATAACCAGCAGCAACATAGTTTTTATGAACCGAGCTATCAGAATAATACATATATTATTAATATTAACTTTTATCAGCCTCTGATTTTACCTGATTTCATTCGTCTAGTTCCAAACTAACTCCACCCCTCACCGCCCCATCTCCATAGACAGCCAACCAGTAGAAATTGTTGACAGCTTCAGGTACCTTGGCATCACTATAGACAATAAACTGAGTTTTGATCACCACATCACAGACATCCACAGACGCTGTCAACAAAGACTTTTTGTCATACGTAAACTCAGGACTCTGTCAGTCAAACTACACCTACTGCTTCTCCTGTACCGTAGTATCATTGAACCCATCCTCCTTTACTGTGCTACCTGCTACTTCACCATGCTCTCTCTCACTAACAGGAATAAGCTTCTTAAAATCATTAACACTTCCTTGAAAATAATAGGTCTTCCCACTCCCAACCTACCAGCCCTCATTAATACTGCCACTGCTCGTAGAGCAACTACCATAGTACACAATCCCAGCCACCCTCTCAACACATACTTCACCCTTCTCCCATCTGGCCCTAGATACAGACAGCTGCTCTACAAAAAGGCACGCTTTGGAAAAAGTTTTGTGCCCTGTGCTATAAGAGTGTTAAACTCACAGACAAGTTAACAATGTCACTCCTGTGTTATATGTGTAGATATGTAGCGATGGGCAAATGAAGCTTTTGTGAAGCACTGAACCACTTGAGCCAATTGTTTCGAAAAAGCTTCAGTTACAGTGACTGGCAAAGTGCAAGGCTGCAGTCAAATTAGGCAGGCTGGTTGGTGGACAGGAGGCTTTTAATTACATACAGGCAGTGCCAGTGAATCGCCTGATTGGACCGCGAACCAGTCAGGTGATTCATTCAGGCAATTAAGCAGCTGCTGCTTTGGACGGCCTATGTCACGTGATTTTTTTCGCACCAAAGCAAGCTTTGAAGCAGTGGTTCTATGGAATTGTAGTTCAGGGTTTGAAGCACGTATCGAAGCTTCAGTGTCGCACTGCCATCACTATAGATATGTGTATATTGTCTGTATATGTGTACTATGTGTAGTTTGTGTGTAGAACTTGAAGGTGCTCTTTGAACAGACTGTGAAAACAAATTTCCTCCACTGAGGACAATAAAGAATGAATCTGAATCTGATTCTGAAACTTTGGATGGAAAATAGACACAATCTGTTATTATTTACACAAATTTAGTTTTCAGACATTACTACATGTATATAAATACTATCATCTCAATAATATCCCTGCTCATATTTAATAACATTCATATTAACTGCCTCCTCGTGAGGATTATAAACAGGATGATTTGCCCGTTTTTGTTTATGAATGTTGCCACAGCAAAGCCTATTGGTCAAGATTCAGCATCAAACCAATGTACCGGCTCTTGTGTCACTGGAACGGACTGTTTTTGCTGGGATGAGTCCAGCATACCTTCCACTCCCTCAGTCACACCATCATCCACCCTCTGATTCAGTTTCACCCTCACAGTTTGATGAAACCGGGTGTTGCCAATGTCCCCTGCAACAGCGTGTCGAGGTTTAAAGTGATATTCTGTCAGAAGCTGCAAATATTCTCAAGCACTAAAGTAACAAACAATTAACTTGTGGTGATACCAGTTTTCTCTGCGAAAAGTAATAAAATGTCACAGAAATGTAGTGAGGAAGAAGGTTTTCTCAAATCAAATGACCCTTAAGTCCAGATATCTTTCTTTTACATGATACCGCAGCTCTAATCCTGTTGTGTTTATCTGTCCTAGGAAGCATTAAGTGTTAATCCAGCAAGGTCTTATATTTACCTTCCAGCCTTTTCTCACATCCACAGCCATCATAACTGAAATAAAATGATACAGGGAGCACATCTGTTCTCACACATTATAGCAGTAATGATGATGACAGAAGACATTCAGTCACAAACATTATGTTTGCTGTCTTTAATGTGATTTTGGCAGAGAAAGTGACCCAGCGTTGGATTAATGAGTTGGATTATGAGTGTCAGTGAGTGATCTGATTGCCTTCAGCTGTTTCCCTCCTGCGACATTTGAGACATCTGAGGAGTGAGAGGATATTTTCTTTGACCTGATGGGACGAACCCTGGATCCACGTCATTCAGACAGATTCAGAGTCATTACATATTTCTGTCAACATGCAATTACACTATACACACATAGGTCTCCACAAACCTATACTCACATCCACATGATCAAACCCAAACCGTTATACAAGAATCCTAAAGTGCACTACTTTTTATCTACAGGTACATGAGAAGTACATGATTTCATTCATTGAACAAATAAGTTAAATAAATGAAATGAGTGGGGGTTCGTGTCCAGCTTTCATCTGGATTCATCTGGTTGACTCGTGTCATGGAAAGAGCCAAAGCTCATTTTCAAATGAAAACCAACCTTCAGGATGCCTGAAGTGAGGACATTCACTACAAAGTGATGCAGAGGAGTAAAAATAGAAACATGACTGGATATTTAAGACATCGCCCAACACACACACATCTCAGACTACTTGGTACACACACATTGATGATGACAACATGAACTGATCGCTCGTTGTATGTGTTTCCTGCAAGTTTTTCTGCTATCTTTTTGTATAGAAAATTGCTGACATTCACACTCCTGACACAATCGCACCATGCACTGTGTAAGCAGAGGAGGCTGCTACCTGGTGAACTCCTGCTGTGAGCTTCAGGAGGACAACCAGTGGAAGAAGGAGAGCTACCAAGCGTGTTGGCTGAGCCTGGTGCTTGAAACAAGACTACAGTACAAGTAGGTGGTTCTCAGCTGAACTGTGAACTTTGTTAAGTCTTCGTAAATGTATCTGGTGTAGCGCTCAGTGTGGTATTGTTGTATCTTTTCAAGCCACCTTCTACTTCTACTAAACATCAATACTGTACATTTTATTCTACTTCATTTATCCGACAAGATAGTGTCAGTTGAGTTAGTGGTTACTTTACAAGTTTATAAAATCTGATGGTTTATTATAGATTAAACTACCCAACAGTATTTACAAAGTACAGCTGAGACGATTAGTCAAATAATCAGTTAGTCAATTAAGAGAAAATTATTTGGAAACTATTTTGATAATAGTTGGAGTCATTTTTCATGTAAAAACATTTCCCGGTTCAGATTTGCTGCTTTTCGTTTGAATAATTTGAATAATTTATCATTAATCATTTTGAGATTTGGACTGGTGGAGGTTGTTTTGGGCTAAACTAATGTTATGATGGTGACACTTTCGGTTGTGGGTAATTGTGATGGCATCAGTCCTATTAAAAATAGTTGTGAGCTCCACCTTAACCAACTACAACCGTAAAATCCTGCTTTTACATTAATGCATGAATCATAATAATCTAATGATAAACTATATAATAATTGTTCTGCATTGAGTACTTTTACTTAATGTCCCTGATTATACTTTGCATACTTGTAAGTAACAAAAGATGAGTGGTTATAGATAATGGAAGGATGGATGGACTTTTACCTGTAAACAAGTACTTTTACAGTGTGGTATTAGTACTTTTATAAAATACAGGTCTATAAGCTATTTAAAAAGGATTTGAAAGAGATCTGATGGTCACAGCAGCTACTTCAGTGTATCACAGAGAGTGGATTAAAAATCATTTATCTGGTGTGTGTAATGTGTTCCAGGCTGACACTGTCAGAGACAGACAGCATTCACAGAGAGAGTTACAAGCAGCAACAGGTGGTCCACTTCATGGTCCAGAGGAGTCCCAGCCAGACCCTGAGGCTGGGCAGCGACAGCAGAGCCATGACAGAGCACCATCTACCCCTCTTCAACGCCAGGAGGGACCTACATCGTGCCACAACCACCTTTGGGTGCACAGAACAACAGCCAGTCATACTAAGCAAGGGGAATAATGGAGTAGATAAACAGGAAGTGACTGCCATAAGTCAGGACCTCAGCAAGCCAGTCAGAGTGAATTTCAGAGCCTCGAGCCTGATGTCCTCACCGGGGGCGATCTCTCATCGGGTGCAGAGGAGGGAGTGAAGCAAAGGGGTGGAGGGTATTTAACAATGAGCTCAGAAAATATAACATGTTAATGTAATTTACACGATATATAAATGTACTTCTAAATTGTATAAGCTATCTAAACTGTGACATTGGAGAAAATAATAGCACCTTATGGTATGCCTCATGAGTATTGTTTTTATGTGTGACAAACCAGATATCTCAGCAACTTCATGTGTTTAGTATCATCCAAACAAAAGAAAAATAACTTGTATTCTTCCTCTAATAAATAAAATAAAATGATTATCTTAAAAATGTGTAACAAGGTTGATTTGATGAATTTGTAAATGATATGTTGCACTTATTGCAAATATAATGTATATACTGTACTGTGCTATAGATATGGACACATTCTGACACAGATGCTTTACTGGTTGTGTTCATTATTGCAGGAAGAACTGACACATTTGTCATTGTCAGTGATCTTTATGCCTAATAAAGCTTCATAAAATAGTGTCTGGAACCTCACTTTGCCTCCTGTTTTAAATTGAAGTTAATAAAATTTTCCTGTTACAGATAAAAACCCACTTCACATACTTGTGCTATGTTAAGGTTGCATTGTGAGCTTCCCCATAATGATTATTAAATAATCATTCTTCAGTATACAAATCCAGTGGGCAGCACCCACCCCCTAGTGGTAAAACAACAACCTTCAGTGAACTAATATTGTACTTTGGTAGATCCTAAGGAGAAAACAAGAACAGCCAAGATGTGTTCTTACACCAAAAATTTATTAGGAGGATTTCACAGAGTGGTTAGAGTGAGTACATTTGAATTGATGGCATTATATCCACCACTTATTCACCAAGTTAGTGATAAAAACAAAAACAAAAAACAGTGTAGAGAGGCTTGGTAAACTGCTACAGCTTTAGGTAATCCTTTCATTACAGGGTTAGTGTTGTGGTATGGTATTATGGTACTGAGCACTACTTTGGGCTCTGTTCCCTTATTAAGATTCACATGCACCTTCAGTGTCCTCTCTCCCTGATAGTTAAAAAGCTCCCACAAACCTGCAATGAAGACCAGAAATGTAAAGCCAGTGATTAGAAGCAGACACACTATTCAATGTATCGCTCTTTACACATCAGAGTGTAAGAGCGATGTCATTTATGGAAGGAAACTCCAAGTTATGGACCAAAGTGTTGGTAAAAACAAAGTACCACAGATATCATGATTAATGCACGGTTTCAACACAGACTTTTCCATCAAAATATTGTTGGAAAAACTATTCTTGATAATGTCTGTATGGTTCCTGGCAGTTTCATTCAACACAGCAGTTTTTAATTTCATTATTAGTCTTCTGAAGATGCAAGTTTATCACAACACATAGTGAACAGTTATTGGGAGCCTTAAATTCATATCTGAGATGGAGGAACAAAAATGTCCAGACATACAATATATGCTTCCAGCATTAATTCATGACACTTGAATGAATGGGAGTTAAATTAATAAAATGTTCAGAGGGGCTAAACGGATACAAAAAATTAATCTCTATGTATTGAACATCAGTTGTGTATCCAATATGGTATCGGTATGATATGGATCGTAGTGCATTTTAATCATTATATGTTTTTTTAATTTAAACTAATGAGTCTTCATTGGGGCTTCTGAAGTTATGGTAATATTGTATTTCAGCATGCTCAAAAATAAAATAAAAAATAAACCTTTTAAAAACTCTGAGATTAAGGGAGGAACTTTCAGATGTTAAACATTATCTTGTTGAGGTTACCTCTTGTGTGACAAGTGAAGAGAATTACACAGAGTGTAAAATACATGCATTTTCCATTCCTGATCCATATACTTTCAACAAGTCTGTTTGGTGTTTTTGTCACTTTGTGTGAGACTGGATTCTCTCTCCTAATATGGCTTCTTCAGCTCTCTTGTGTTTCTGGACAGTGACCTGCAGCTGCCAGTACTTGAGGTACACCCACATGAGGCTTCCATTCTTCCTCTTGTCCATGTTTAGCAGGTCCGCACAGTAATTATCTCTCTTGAAAATATCCTTCAGATCGGACTCTAGATCCAGTCCTTCCCCGATGGGTTCCCTGACGACCTTAAGCAGCATGTTCTTCTCCATCTCCAGCCGTTGCTCTCGAGGTTGGAGTAGGGAGCAGTACGCATTCTGGCGCTCCACAAGCTGACCCTCTAGCTCCTTCAGAGTGGCGGAGGCTCGATGGTACCAGTTGTCCTCTCGTTGCAGGGCTCGGTGCAGCACAGCCCCTGCAGCGCCGGACTTCACCAGCCTTTGCGTCTCTTCCTCCAATGCATCACGCTCCTTGTAAGGGAGAAGACAGTTTGGGGAAACATGCACAATAGCATACATAGATAGTCAAAGTGGGAGCAAGACAAGAGTTTACCTTCTGTAACTGTTTCCGTTCTTCCATCAGCTGCTGGCTCTGTGAAACCAGGGCCTGCTTGTAGCCTTTGACCCTCTGTCTCTCCTTCTCCAGCTCCAGCTCTAGTGTAGCCGCTGCCCTGCGCCTCTCTGTCAGTGTCTCCCGGTACCTTGCCTCCATCTCGCTTTTGATTGTGGACACATCCTTGTCATACTGGGCTTTGACATTCTGGATCTCCCTCTGAGACTCCTTGGTCCAGATCCAACCTGAAGGCACAGTGAGGGATATGACACAGGACAGGGAAGATATTAATTTCTTACTGTCATGGTCTTAAAGCACAACTAAATTTCCTGAAGCCCAGAACAGTTGCAGCAATGTACCTTCTTGTCTCCCAGGTTTGAAAAAGATAGAAAAGTTACGATGATAATGGGAGCTGCTTCAAACCAAAATGAGAATGCATTTGAAAGAAAAGCAGAAGACCCTAGACCCTAATAAAAACTCTAGTCTAGTTAAGATCTGATACATAACTCTCTTTTGTAGACTTGTAGACTGTCATTCTGAAGAAAAGAAACCTAGACCAGTGATATATATATATACACACTGTACCTTTATACAAGAGTCTACACTTCCCATAGAGTTAGCTACGAATATGACAAATTAATAAAAACATTTACAGAGGTAAAGAGTGGATCTCACAAAAAACTAAGCTTGCTTTGCATTTAAGATTTCACTAACTACATATTCAACAACCTAAATGTTCTCTCCTCCGTCTGTTACATCATCTTTAGACAAATCTCCTTGTCTAACTTACGAAATGCAGCCAGTCCCAGCATGGGTACCAGCAGGGCGTAGTTCCATTGGTTCCCATCACCGGCCCCCGCCCCCCTTCCCCTGGGGTCTGGTTGGATGTTCCACCTGGGGGGGTCATTCAGGTTGTTCATGGAGGCTGCTGACACATACACACACGGCAAACCAAAACACCACACTCACAAATGAGTCATCGAAATGTACGATAGGATACATGTTCAAACGTAGCAGCACAGAGTGAAGGGTGCTCCTGAAGCTGCAGTGTCTTTAAACTAGCACTTCCACCACTGATACTGCAGCAGTTTTAACCATCTACAAAATGGCTCAGTAGTAAACACATCATTATAAAGTTAATTCCACATGTCTATATTTCGTACCTTACTACAAGGACGTTGCTTTAAGCCTAAAATACTGTGTTGCAAATAAGAGCTAGATGTGACAGTACTGTGACGGGCAGCAACAGCAGTACCAGTCGGACATGATTTATAAGTTTGACAGTCCAGCTAACCACAAACAAGGCTAGCTATGAGCTAACGTGCTAGCTATCATTTTAGCTTGCTGGCTCATGCTCGCTAGAGTATTTCATACAAACATAACACAGGGCATAGTAGCTTTGTAAGTCCAACAATAAGTCCGTGTATGTCTATTAAATAAATGGTGCTGTGGCTCACCTTGAAAGAAAAGTCTAGGTCACTTATACATTTGTTCCTGCCACCCAGCTTACACAATTTGTATGCTGTAGCGGTCAATCTACACCGAGGGTAATTCATGAAAACCCACTCATATGAAAGTCGCAACAGGTGTTAAAAGTTAAAGCCTGTGTTTATTTATTTAGATTTACTTCTCCAAGCAAAACATTATTTGTTATTTAAAACTTGTCAATATGTGTTTTTACAGGAAAATATTAGGTGTAACATACACGATACCCCCGTTTTCGGAGAGTGGTATGGTCCTATACAACAGCATATCTGAACATCCGCCGTGGCTCAGAAACGGTCCTTCAACTGACAACATGGCGAGTGTTCGTGCTGCGTCCCGTCTCCTCCCCAAGAGGATACTATCTAAAACCAAAGCAGTGAGTAGTAACAACTACATATTAAATAGGCCACACGTCACATGTCTTTACGTGTGCCTGTTGTCTTTTTTAATCAACTCTAAAAGGAAGAATTGTGCAGCCTGTTCAGCTTTCGTAACCGGCTGACTCTGACTTGCGTAACCTGTGTTATGTAGCTTAGGGTGTTTCAATGTGACACCACGAAGAAAGAAACGTTTGCGAGTCCTGTGAAATGTTATATATATATATATATATTTATACCGTCTCTGTTTGTTTCAAATTATGCTTTACTATTATTCAAATTCACTGTCAACGTATTTGAGGTATTTCACTGTGTTAATAACAGTTGTTGCCCTTGTGGCAAACAGTTTTAGCTACTGTATGTTAGCTAGTAAAATGTTGAAGGAGACAATGCAGATATCTTTAATGGGACCTTTTAAACTAAAGTAATCATTCTGAGTTAAATTAAAAACAATCACCAGAATGATAACGGATATTAATACTTTATTGTGGACTATTATGGTTAAATGTTATTAAGAATATACTTTTAAATCTGCCTTCAATATGTGCATAAACATAACAGTGCATGCTTATTAGCATTAGTAGCCTTCAGTATGGTTTATGTTGTTCCACGTTTGCTGCTTTTGTTTGATTTCTCCTCTGATATAAATTGGGACTTTTTTCCGCAAGGTCCCTGCTGCTGCAGTTCACGGCTCCAGGAACTTTCATTTCTCCATCTATGGCAAGAAGAAAAATGCCCAAGTATCAAATGATGTAAGTTACATTTGCTCTTCTGTGTATATCAGCATTTGATATGTTTATTAGTGTGGTTGCATGATAGGACGTGATACTCTACATGGGTAGTAGGGCTGGGCGATATGGCTTCAAAATAAAATCTCCGATTTTTTCACACCAAACCCGATTTACGATTTTAATAGATTTCTTTGTAGACTGTTTTGTAGCGGGTGTTTGTGGGCTGCGGTCCTGTATATCTCGCAGAGAGCAACATTTCTCCCACTGGGCTGCATGCCTCTGCTTGAGGTGCTGGAATAAATTGGTCGTACTGCTACCTTTGGTAACAGCAACAGCTTTCAAACAGACTTTGCAGTGGGTCGTGGTTTGTTCGCTGTCGGACGCCACAAAACCAAACCAGATCCAAACAACCGACGGCACTGTGCCTTTTTTGGGGACGAGCTCATCCTGGCTTGCTGCCGTGTTGTGTTTACCTGTGGAGAGGCGGGGGGAGGGGTCAGCGCACTCTGACCTACGGGAGCCCAAAGGGAGCGCCGGTGTTGTGGAAGTTCAAGAGAAAACCGATTTTAACTCAAAATAAATCGTGTTTAACTACAAGTTCGAATTAATCAATAAAATCGATTTATCGCCCAGCCCCAATGGGTAGAAGAGTCTAACAAACTTATAGTATACAATAATGGCCTCAAACTGGTGTCGTGCTATGCATGCTCACTGGCACTCACTGACCTATAGTGAGGGATTAAGTTTCCACTTTGTGCAAGCTGCTCTTTATTGGAGGTTTCACAGTGACTTATCTCCTTCAATGTTTTCAGATCTCCACTCAGTACCCAGTTGTGGATCACGAGTTTGATGCTGTGGTGGTAGGAGCTGGAGGAGCAGGACTTAGGGCAGCCTTTGGCCTGTCAGAGGCTGGCTTCAACACTGCCTGCATCACCAAGCTCTTCCCCACCAGGTCTCACACCGTTGCTGCACAGGTATAACAACACACTGTATACGTCTGTTGAGGATATACATTGTTTTTGTATGATTTTCTACACAATGTCATCAGGCTCAAATCCTCCTGTGTTCATTAGACTGGGGTTTAACTAACTCAGTACTGATTTGTTATGCAAAAGTTATCTCCTTATAAATATAATTCACTGTATTGCTGTTTCTCTGTGATTTTATTGGATTAATGCCTATTACCTGGTTCACAGGGTGGGATCAATGCAGCCTTGGGGAACATGGAGGAGGATGACTGGAGGTGGCATTTCTACGACACAGTGAAGGGATCTGATTGGCTGGGAGACCAGGATGCTATCCACTACATGACAGAGCAGGCTCCTGCAGCTGTAGTGGAGGTAAGGTCTCACACACATGCACATAAGTAGTTGTTAGCTTACAATTCCTGGCTTTTTGGCACCAAAAGAGAAACTTTAGAGAATGAAAGCCATTCAGTTAGAATATGCAAGATACAATTTAGGGAAAAAAACAGTTTATTTATTGATTCATTATTAATTTTATTGATCTCATGTTGCTGTGCCACTTTCCCAGCTGGAGAACTTTGGCATGCCGTTCAGCCGCACTGAAGATGGGAAGATCTACCAGAGAGCCTTTGGAGGTCAAAGTCTCAAGTATGGAAAAGGAGGTCAGGCTCACCGCTGCTGCTGTGTAGCAGACAGGACAGGACACTCGCTACTGCATACACTTTATGGAAGGGTGAGCGCATGCACCTGTTATCCATCTTTTCTGCAGCTCAGTCCACACATCAAGTTTTAATCTGGAGTATCATTTGAATTTATGTAACCATGTATCTGCCCCCCCATCTTCTGTTCAGTCTCTTCGTTATGACACCAGTTACTTTGTGGAGTACTTTGCCTTGGACCTGTTGATGGAAAATGGAGAGTGTAAAGGAGTGATTGCTCTCTGCATGGAGGATGGATCTATTCACCGCTTCAGAGCCCAGAATACTGTCATTGCCACTGGGTAGGCTACACACTCACTGTTTGAAAAAATAAATCAGTTACCTAACATAGTCTTGAGAGCTGATATGAGACAAACATTTCTCCAGCTGTGCATATGTAAATAAAAGTTTATAAATGAGTTATATCTTTCTTTCCAGGGGTTATGGAAGAACCTTTTTCAGCTGCACATCTGCCCATACTAGTACCGGAGATGGAAATGCAATGGTGACCAGAGCTGGCCTGCCCTGCCAGGATTTGGAGTTTGTACAATTCCATCCCACTGGTGAGAGAAAGAACCATATTAATTTAATAAACCCAAGTCATGAAATATTTGTGACGTGTTAAAGCAGCAGAATAAAGCAGAATTCTACTATAAAAATCAGTAGCTGGAAAGATCCACTGTAGGTACATTCATACCTTAAAGACCCATCTAGATTACTTATACTAAATTCAACTAGTAAAGGCATTCTATCAATGACGGTTCAGAGTTCAGTATTTTATTGTCTAGCTGTAAATGTGTGATAAGACACTGTATAAATAGTGTAAAGACTGTGTGTTCATTCAGAGTCTGTTTGTCCTTATGTCCAGTGGTTAATGACATTCCTTTATTCTGTATCACTGTTTGCACAGTCAGTCAGATTTATACATCTGAAGTCAAGGATTTTTAACGTCTTTTTGGGTCTAGTAGTAGTAGTCTAGTAGTTTACGATGCGCTCCAATAATAGACCTCACTTACATAAAGACATCTTTATTTTTGTTCCTACCAGACATTTGACACCGGACTCGGTTATGTATAAAGTAGCTCAGTGATGTGGCCGATGGGAGGTCACCAAAGGCACGAGCCAGTTTTCATTGAGTTAGAGTGCAGATTTTTCTCACCCTTTTAGATATGATGCAATTTTTTTCAAGTGTCTAGTTATAGAATTGCTGTGTGTGTGTGTGTGTGTGTGTGTATGTATTTATATTTATATATATATGTGTGTGTATATATATATATATATATATATATATATATATATATATACATATTTTTTCAAGTGTCTAGTTATAGAATTGCTGTGTGTGTGTGTGTGTGTGTATATATATATATATTGTGTGTGTGTGTGTGTGTGTATATGTGTATATATATATATATAAGTGTGTGTGTGTGTGTGTATACATATATGTATATATATATGTGTGTGTGTGTGTGTGTGTGTATATATATATATATATGTATATATATATGTGTGTGTTGTGTGTGTGTGTGTGTGTGTATATATATATAATTTAAAAGCCTTTGACTGTGAAGACTTTCTCATTAGTCCGCTGATAAGATAAAACAATTTTGTCACTGACCAATGAGAGCCCAAAACTAAAATATTATATTACTATAGTAAATTTTTTTTTATTGTGGAACATAATATAATAAAAACAGTACTTCAACAAGGATGATGGACAGAGTTTTTTTATATGTACTACTAATTTTTGTATTCCTTTTCCTAACTAATACATTGAATGAATGTGAGCACTGAAGACAGTTTCAGGGTACAAAGTCACACCATTTTCAGAGCTTCAGAAAATTGTTACTTTTTCTGGAGTAACTTTATAGTTTAAATGCCATAGTGAACAGACTTATCACCGTTGAGGCAATAAAGCACTCTATCATAGTTTTTATTGAGGCAGTATTGTGTCATAAGTTATAACAACAGAGCTTTGAGGATTTTATGTTCACAACTGTATGCTTCATTAATGGGTATGTGGTTAAAGTCTATTACATCAATCAGGAATCCTACGGAGTATTTTCATTGCAAAGATAAAAAAAAACCTGCTATTTAATAGTATAATATATAACCGTTCTTGTCTTATTAATTGATTAACAATTGGATCCAGTAGCCTTCTCTGAAACAAGGCTTTGGTTTCAGAGAAGGTCCATGGTAACCCGATGTACCCCACAAAAACAGGCTACTCAAAGATTAAGATCAAAATTAGCTTTCTACAACACATCTGTTTGGTGTTA